TTCAGCCTACCCATGGTGCTTTCAGCCTACCCATGGTGCTTTCAGCCTACCCACGGTGCTTTCAGCCTACCCACGGAGGCCCAGTCCAAGGTTTACATGCTGAAACAACAGCTCAGGAGGTCAGGTCCCATCACCAAGTCACCCTTTACTTTACATCTGTGGGCAGCCAGCTCGGAGTCATCCCCTGAACTGAGGGCATTTTAAAGCTCCCGTTTATATTGGCCAGCAAGGGTTTTCCTGATTGGCTCAGGTTAACAACCCTAATCAAGGATCTCATAATCAACAAGATCCACCTGGTTCCAATCACTACAGTTATGTTTTGTAAAGACCTCCAGCACTTCCTCTTCTGTAATATGAACTGTTTTCAAAACATCAATATTTATTTCCCTCCGTTCAATAGCCTCCATTTTTTTCTCACAGTAAAAATTGATGCAAGATATTCATTTAATATCTATCGCAAAGATGACCTTGTTGATCTTTAAGAAGTCCTACTCTTTCTCTAGTTGCTGACTTGCTCTTAATGTATTTGTAGAATCCCTTTGGACTATCTTTAACATTGTCTGCCAAGGCTACCTCAATTCCCTGCTTTTCCTTCCTGGTTTCCTTATTAAGATTGCTCCAACACTATTTATACGCTTCAAGAGATTCAGTTGATCCCATTTGTCTATATCTATAATTCTTTTTCATTCTTGACTAGAAACTCAATATCTTTATTCATTTATTGTTCCCTAATCTTACCAGCCTTGCCTTTCACTCTTGACTTGGTAGACTTGGCGACTGCTTCGCAGAATATCTACGTTCTGTTCGCAAACAAGACCCTGAACTACCTGTTGCCTGCCACTTCAATGCACCACCTTGCTCCCTGGCCAACATCTCTGTCTCCGGCTTACTACAGTATTCCCGTGAAGCCCAACGCAAGCTGGAGGAACAACACCTCATTTTCCGCTTGGGGACCCTACAGCCCTCCGGACTCAATATTGAGTTCAATAATTTTAGGGCCTAAACTCTCCCATGTCCCAGCCCCCCACCCCACACACCAGGCCTTGTTACCACAGCCTGCCACTACACACCCCCTGTTGTTAGTCACTAACCATCCCCAATAACAACTATTCACCCTCCCAGCCCGATCGTTAGCAACTTTTTTGTCTGTCCAACTGTCTCTCTCTCTCTCTCTTTGGGCTCTATCCTATCGTTTACTCCCTACCCCACCCACCTCCCTATTCTTTGCATATAAACTGATGTTTTCCCAGCCACCAACACTTCTGAGGAAGGGTCACCGGACCCGAAATGTTAACTCTGTTTTTCCCTTCACAGATGCTGCCAGACCTACTGAGCTTTTCCAGCAACTTTGTTTTTGTTGCCTTTCACTCTAACAGGAATATAATGCTTCTGAACTCTTGTTATCACACTTTTGAAGGCTTCCTACTTGTGAGTCATCCCTTTATTTGTGAATAGTCTACTCAAATCAACTTGTGAAAGTTCTTGTTTCATACCATCAAAATTTGCCTTACTCCTATTAACAACTTAAACTTTTATGGAAGACTTATCTTTCTCCATAACTATTTTAAAACTAATAGCATTATGATCACTAGTCCCAAAGTTTTCCGCTACTAACACTTCACTCACTTGCCCTGCCTTATTTCCCAAGAAAAGGTCAAGTTTTACTCTGTCTAGTACGAACATTTACATATTGATAAAGAAAACGTTCTTGAACACATTTAACAAATTCTTCACCATCCAAACCTTTATAATAGCAGTCCCAGTCAATGCTTGGAAAATTAAAATTCCCTACTATTATAACCATTTCTTTTTCTTACATATATTTGACATCTACTATTTGCTTCTCAATTTCCGACTGACAGTTGGTGGGGGAGGTCTATAGTACAATCCCATCAAGGTGATCATCCTTTTCTAATTTCAAACCATATATTTTCATTAAATGATCACTCAGCACCACATTCTCTAACTACAGTAATAATGTTTTCCTTAATCAAAAATGCCACTCCCCTTCCCGTAACATCTAAAACCCAGAACGTTGAGCTGCCAGTCCTGTCCTTCCCTCAGCCAAGTGTCTGTAATAGCTACAACACTCCAGTCTCATGTTCTCCTACATGCCCTGAATCCATCAGCCTTACCTGTGAGACCACTTGCATTGATGTAGAATCAAGCATTATCTTTTTATTTCAGTTACTATATATAGATCAAGGCTTCACTTCTGCCAGAAAGTTACAAGAGAGAATCATTACTTGGTAGTTATGAGAGCTTGCATCACTTCACAAGGATGTAAAACATCTGATTTACAAGTTCACATTAATCGTTTACACCACTTAAGCCAACCTCCACTATTTTCACAGTATCAGATAGCTTATCTAATAAAGTCTTCAAGTCAACATGATGACGACTGAAGCCCTTACCTTCCCTCATTTGGCTCAGCTGTCTTGCCATTGATTCCATTCCTCTTCCCTGGGCATTTCCTTACATTGAATATTATCAATGATCTGCTTCAATGTCTAGAAAAGCTCTAAACCACGTTCACTGTCCATCACCAAGATTAATTACTTCCATCTCTGTAACACTACCAGTTTTCATCCTACCTAAGCACTTAAACACTTCTATGCTCAACTATTCCAATGCCTTTGCACTGACATCGTGTCCTTCACCCTTCACAAACTCCAACTTACCCAAAAATTCTGCCACTTGTTTCCTTGGCGGTGTTAAATCACATTCACCTACACCATAGTCACTAAACTATATGGCTTCATCATCCCACAAAATAGTCATTTCTCCACAGGCTTGCAAGAAGTATATCAAATACCTCCTGGCTTCCAGGAAATAGTTTCTCCAAGTGCCAGATGATTTTCACACTGGATGCATTGGGAACAAACTCTGAAAATTACCCGAGGCACTCCCTTTTACCCATGTGCAGAGGGAAGACAGCAATAATAAATACAAATGAAGAAATCTTTATGGGGGGGGGGGTGAAAGGGTGTCATACAATTATTTCATACAAGAAGTGTAATTCCTTTAAAAACGAATTAATAAAAATGTTAAGGGTACTCAAGATGATACAATCTGCACCTCATCAACCATAACTGTTCCCTTTGGATCTGTCTTGATTTGGCTTCCATGAAGGTAATTGGTCGCTGGTGTCACTCCTTTTCACAAGGCAGCGAGTCATTCATGCAAAAACAGAAAAGAAATTCAGAACACCAGCAATCAGAAGAGCCAAGAACGTTCTAATCAAACATCCTGTTAGAAGAAAGGTTTTTACCAATTCCTACTACACACATATCTGCTGGAAGAACCTTTCCACTTGCTAACGCAGCTTCTTTCAACTGCAAACATAATGAAAAGCAAGTTACAGAAGCTGAAACAAAACATAAAAATAGTTGTAAACTTAAATAACTGAACATTTAAATGAGCTTACCAATCCATTTTCTCCCCTTAGCTCAATCACATGATCAGTCATATAAAACTTCACACCTTCCAGTTCAAACGCCTGTAATTTTACACATTTAAACTTAGAACACCAAGTTAAACATCTATGTTTTATTTTGTTCTCTTGAATAAAACACAGTACTGGAAACTGTGCAGGCTTATTCTAAAAGTGGAGGATAACTGGACCAGGTACAAACGATCTTTCTGAGGAGCAATAAAACACTTCCCAAAACGTTTGACTCAAATTACGATAACAAAAAACGGCAGCACGGTGGCTCAGTATTTAGCACTGCTGCCTCACAGTGCCAGGGACCTGGGTTCGATTCCAGCCTCAGGCGACTATGCAAACTCCACACAGACATTGTCCCCATGTCTGCGTGGATTTCCTCCAGGTGCTCCGGTTTCCTCTCTCAGTCCAAAGATGTGCAAGCTAGGTGGATTGGCCAGGCTAAATTGCCCATAGTGCCCAGGGATGTTTAGGTTAGGTGGATTAGACATGGGAAATCAGGAGTAGGGGAACTGGTCTGGGTGGGATGCTTTTCGGAGGGGCAGTGTGGACTTGTTGGGCCGAATGGCCTTTTTCCCCTACAGTAGGGATTCTATGATTCTACGAAAATGGAAAAACAAAGTAGAAAATACAAAACAGAACATTACTTTCAGAACTTTGTCTAATCCGTTTGCTTTTTCCAACCATGTTATTGATAACATTTAAATTGTTTGCATTTCAGATTTTTGAACTTCAACTTAACTTCATTATAGTTTTTCCGATTTCTGTCCCCAGTACATGTTGATATGGGACCTCAGAAGTTCCAACCACTGAGACAGAACTGGCTTTCTCAACCAGACAGGCAGCTATCTCCATTCCTGGAACACAAAGGAAAATTTGTTACAAGAAATATTGGGGTGACAATGACCTAGTGGTATTATCGCTCGACCATTAATCCAGAAACTCAGCTAATGTTCAGGAGACCCTTGGGTTCAAATCACACCATGGCAGATTCCACTATCCAGATGGTGGAATTTGAATTCAATATGAATCTGGAATTAAGAGTCTAATGATGATCATGAAACGGTCGTTGATTGTCAGAAAAAAACCTATCTGCTTTATTGATGTCCTTAAAAAGAAGGAAACTGCCAACCTTACCCACTCTGGTCTACATGTGATTCCAGACCCACAGCAATGTGGTTGATTATGAACTGTCCTCTGGCAATGAGGGATGGGCAATAAATGGTGGCCTAGCCAGTGTTGCCCACATCTCCTGAATGAATAAAAAAAAAATTGCATGACTTCATTTTGAGGTAGTGTGTCAGTCATAGCGGAGCGGAAGCATACTTGTCTCTCAGTCAGAGGGCTTGGGTTCAGGTTTGCACAGAATCTAATATGGTACTTGTTTCTTATTTCGGAAGTACTGCGTTGTCAGAGGTCTCGACTTTCAAATGAGACTTAAAATCAGGATGTGTCCATCATATGAGGTAGGCATAAAATGTGCTGTATAAATGCAAGTCTTTATTCATTTCAATAGACAGTTTAAGATAATATTATGATTCTGTATCAGACTACCAAATTTGGTACAATCTCGCTAACAATCTTTATTATTAAAGCAGACAAAGTGTGAGATCCAAGGTAAGTTAAGAAAATAGAATCACAAAATTCCTTGGTACAATAAACTTTACAATATAACATTAAAACAGTAACGCAATCTATACTACACATAGAACTTACAGTTTAACACCTGGAATTAACATGTATATGGGTAACAGACAATATTCGAACATTTCACAGTGCACATCAAACAGTAAATACAATCAAGCCAGATCCCTTGGCCTCCTTAGCAACAAACCCCCACCTCCCGACAAGAAATGAATGACATGGTGGGTCATCAAATCTCATTAAACTTTGCAAGGGATCATAATTCTTCACTTTCATGATTTGATCTTTAAACTCTTGTCAAGAGAGTCACACCATCATGGACTACTTCAATGACTGCTCTCATTCTGAATGATCACTCTCCTGCCCCATGTTCCCCTGGACTCAGAAACTGCGCTCCAGTACTCATTTACAAGCAAAACACCAACTTTTCATTGACAGTTAGCTTCACTAGTCTAAAAACTATTCTGGGTATGTCCCAAAGCTCCAATCTTGCTCAGTTGCAAGAAGCAAATATTGATTTTCAACCCACTCTTGGCTGCACAGAATTATTAATGCTCTCAAGCATTTTTAGAGCCTTTCACGGTTTCCCTAGCATAGAGCCTGCAATATTGGCACTTTCTCTGTTCTCCACGACTTGAGGGGCCCAAAACAACACTTAGCCACCTTATAATTCCTTATATCTTCTTCCTGACTTCTAACAGCATAAAGCCATCTGGCTGCTCTTAATTCCATACTGAGTCCCCTACATTTTGAGAGTAATTTAGCTGCCTTCCCAGCTGGACAGGTAGTGGCAGCACTCCTAAAATAGGTGTCAGCTTCTTTGTTGTTTGTGTCTCATACTCCTTGTCTTTTCCAATTGCCTCTAACATTTGAGCTCCTCTTTATTGGCACCTGAACAGCTCTGGGGCAGAATTGAATATAGCTATTTAGCAACTCTTGAGACAAAATGTGCTTTGAATGTTCCGATTCATAGATTGCTGGCTTCTGATCACAAAAAATACTTTGGAAAAGGCAGCTTCATTAAATTCTCTTGCTACCACTGAACTCATCCATAGTTCAGTATGATGGCTGACGTATCATTAAATAGTTTACAGCAGATTGTACCTTGCAAACAGTTTAAACTAGATATCACTGCCTAACTAAAGTTTTTATTGCGATTGTTGTATTGCTGCTGACTACCAAAAATCTACAATGCATATCTACAAGGTAACATATAATCAGAACAATCCTGTCACTCAACTGAAAGTACCTTCAGTCTAATTGTAGGTTATTAGCTTCAGATTACACTTGGATATCTGAATCTTTTGATTGATTAACTTCACGTTAGTTCAGAACCACACAGCAAAATATTTAAACTGGAAGATGATACTAAAGAGTGAGCTACAAAGGATTGAAAGAGGCAGCTCAGAAATTGTAGAATGAGTTACAAAAAGCACAGTAAGCCCTTGCTTAAAGTTACCACACATAATGTCACTGTTTTATCATTTTGTCTTTGGAGACTATTTTTCAAATTTGCATTGCTATTTTTGTTTACTGTCATTTCTACACACAAATCCCTTGCTATCTGTGGAAGATAGGGACACAGGTCTCCCGCAGATAACAAAAAAAAACTGTTAATACCACTCCAGTTAAACTCTCCCACATACCATGACTGACGGCGCAGTCAGGTCAATTGGAAAAACAGTGGGGTCTGAGGCCAACCTGGTGAGTACGCAGATCTGCAGTTTGCAATCAGCAGATAATGAGGAGTATTGAGCATCGGAGTAAAAGTTGCACTCATATTATTATTGCAAATGAGTGTATCACTTATTAGCCAGACTTTTCCTCCTTTTTGTTCTGGCAGTAGGCAAGAAAGCACCAGCATGCCTGTGTACTCAGGTGAATTGGGTACACCGCTGCAGCCTGTGTTACCACCTTCGAGTTCCCTTCCAAGTCACTCACCACCCTGACTTGGAAATATATTGCTGTTCCTTCACTGTCACTGGGTCAAAATCTTGGAATTTCCTCCCTAATAGCATTGTGGGTCAACCCACAGCAGGTGGACTGCAGCGGTTCAAGAAGGCAGCTCACCACCATCTTCTCAAGGGCAACTAGGGATGGGCAAGAAATGCTGGCCAGCCAGCGATGCCCACATCACACAAAATGAATACAAAAGTACAATTTCCTTTACGTTTAGCTCTTCATTCTCATTCGTCCAATTGTAGTGGAGATCTAATATTTGCTGAAATTACAGCAATGTTTGGGCTGTGATTTCTAATTTCTGATGTAACAAATACCACCCACTTTATATTTCAGGTCTGTTGCCTTGGCAGAAAAGCTGCCCACTCACTTACCAAAAAAGCAGATATTTAACCCATCATGTAAATTACATTGATTTCCCTTTAATTACTGCTTTATTTAATAATTCATTTAATTTGCAAGTTATTTGAACTAAGAATGTACAGTGATGCACATGTATAGCAGTTCTTCAACTTGATTTTAAACCAGGTAAGTAATGTCTCATGGAATTTAACTTTGGCTTTAACACGTCTGTCAATTAACTAAGCTAATGGCAAGTTGAACTTCATTAGAAAAATAGAGTATACAGTCAAAGGAAGTCATGATCAAACTGTACACAGCTCCCATCAGTTCACATTTCACTGAGTTGAGTTACTGAGACGGGGAATTGTAGAAGCATTGCAAACAGCAGACAAGATGGTAAACAGGATGAGAAAAGACTAAAACAAAATTAAATTTGGAAAAGAAGAGTAGAGTTTAAACTTGTCAGAAAAACTTAGAATGCATATCAGCAAGCTCTTCACATATAACAGCTAATCTTGCTTTGATCTCTCAAATAGGATACCAGAAGCAGAAATATTTAAGGAAGAATTACAAGTCACAACATGGATATGACTTTAAATGATTTTGGTGATCGATTTTTGATAGATTAAATGGCCTTCCTTATCAGTAATTGTGGTCAATATACACAAAGATAAGACCATACAAATTAGGAACAGAAGTAGGCACCCTGAGCCAGTTCTGCCAATCAACAGGATCATGGCTGATCCAATGTTCCTCATGTCCATTTTCCTGTTCTTTTCCTATACCTTTAAAATCCCAACTGACCAAGAACCTACTTCTCTCAGCCTGAAATACACAAGGACTCTGTCCTCACAGCTCGCTATGGCAAGGAGTTCCAAAACCTCTCAACCCTCAGAGAGGGGAAACTGTTCCTCAGTCAGTCTTAAATTAGCAACAAAGTTTCCATCCTCAGGCGAATGTCTGTCTGGAGTTAGCACATTCTCCCAGTGTCTGCATGGGTCTCCTCCGGCTGCTCAGATTTCCTCCCACAGTCCAAAAATGTGCAGGCTAGGTGGGTTGGCCATGCTAAATTGCCCATAGTGTTCAGAGATGTGTAGATTAGGTGAGTCATAGGGGGTTGGGTCTGGGTGGAATGCTCCAAGGGTGGGTGTGGGCTGGTTGGGCCGAAAGGCCTGTTTCCATACTGTAGGTATTCTGTGATTCTGATGCAGCACCAAAAACAAAAACAAAAACAATGTTTTTTAACAAGGCCTTGAAAGATTGTTTTCCTGGTTGTTGCTATTGCTGTAAAAGTATAAGGGCTGTTAAAGTTCAAGCAATGTTTTCATACAGGTCAGGTTTCAAATGATTCAACAGCAAAGGGATATGGAAATTAAAGTAGATAACACGGTGTGGAGCTGAAGGAACACAGCAGGCCAGGCAACATCAGAGGAACAGGAAGTCTGACGTTTTGGGTTGGGATCCTTCTTCAGAAATTTATTTCCAACTCCAGCATCTGCAGTTCTTGCTATCTCTGGAAATTGAAATAACTGCACAGAGGCCGGTATCCCGTCACCCAGTCACCCTTTATTTACTTGTGCTCAGTACACTGGCTGTGGCCAGCCAGCTCGGAGTCAATCCCCTGAATTAAGGAGATTCTAATCTCCTGGTTATATTTTTTTTTTAATGGCCAGGCCTAGGAGCAGATCTCCTGGTTACAGTTATTTTCTCCAGCTCCTGGCTGTGTGTAGGTACAAGACACAATAAAAACAACAGGCATGTAAATAAGTTTATGGATAGTCCACCACCAGAGAAAACACCCATGTGACCCAAGAACCAGTAGCAAGTAGAGCCCCATCTCCTGTTTATATTGGTCAGCCAGGGCTTTCCTGACTAAGGTCATTGATTGGCCCAGGTTAACAACCCCAGTCAACAAGATCCACCTGGTTCCAATCACTACAGAAATATAATACAAAACCTTTTTAAGTAGGGAATATCAGTTTTGTCCTTGTAAAAGATAAAAAGCAATCACTGGATTCAAAAATGAAATAATCTGTAATTTACAGGTTAATGATCGTCCAATTCTTTTCTTTCTCTACCTGGGTAGCTGTACTAAGTGCAAAATAGGAAAATTTGCCTCTTGCATATATTAGAAAGTTTCAAACATTTGCATGAAATTGCAGGGCGCAGAGAAACAGTCCACAACTTATATCAGCATAATGGAGTTTAAAAGCTTGCTGACAAGGAAAATACTCCGACATTGTTATTATGCAGAGTTTAAAAGTTTGAAGAGACCAAGAGAATAAAAACAGCATTCAGTTTATGCAAGATTACCATCTTTAAAGCCATTTACTGAAGTATTGCAGAATAATTAAATATTTGAAGAAAACAGAACAAACAACTTGGAGATGCTATTCATTTAATATAGTTTTTAAGCAATGAGAATCAATAACCTTATTAAGAAAAAGGCATGTTATGTTTTGTTCTTAAAACAAGTACTTCTTCTCATTAAGCCTCAATAGTGATTTATTCTGTTACTACTGTTTTTTCAATAGACCCTTATACTTAACACGTAAAGGAGCATTGATGGTAGCATTCTACCTCAGTACTAATCACCAATGGCTTATAAATGTAATATATAACAGTACAGTACTGCCTTGTGAAACTACTACATAAAGCATGTCCAAAAACATTTCTAGCCCTCTGTTAATTAATAGATACCTAAATTGTGAGCAAAGCTTCTCAATACAAAATGTTAAAAATTACCAATGAATGAGGATCCCACGATAATAATGTTCTTTGCTGTTGCGAGTTCATTGATTCTGTTCGCATCATCAAGGCTGCGCAAGAGACAAATGTTTCCTAGATCTGCTCCTAGACAACCAAGCATTCTAGGTCTGTATTTAGAAAGACAATATGCCATAAACAGGACAATGCGGAAGCTCAAAAGAAACACAAACATGCTACATGCTTTATTCAATGGCTGGGCTGTTAGCCAGAATATTTAAGTTTATAGCACAAACCATGCTGACTTTAAGAACTTAAAATATAAAAAGTGAGGCAATTTGATGGTAATGGGTATTTCATTGTCAAGACAGCATCAAGGTTAAAGCAATTGCAACGACCTTCTCATATAATTAAAAATGTACTGTGGAAGACTTCTGCATTTGGCTTACACAAATACAGATATAAACAGAAAAAACTTCCTTTTTTTCATGTATGTTAAATGCCCAGATTGTAAGCTGGTTCCCTTCATACAGGCAACCTCTCACACAGGCTAGTGTCAAATAAAATCAAAAAGGTCCAAGCAGATTATGGGGAACCCAACCCACGTGTGGGATGATCAGCAGCAGCTACTCATAACAAGGATTGATTTGAAGGTAGTCAGTCACTTACATGCTGCCTGTTGCAAGCAACAAGTTGTCATAATACTGTTTAGTTCCATCTTTGAAACTGACTTTCCTTTTTTTTGTGTTCACTGATGTGGCCTAAACACAAAACAGAAAAATACATTTCAATCCAAAAGTGGTCTCCTTAAAAGACACCGTCTGGATGTAAAACAAAAATATTCAGAGGAACTGAACGCAAGCAGAAAGCTTCATTTCTTCATCTCTTTAACTGAAGATATGTTCATTTATCCTTGGTGGCACCAACATGCTCTGTACATGCCAAAGAACTAATGTAATTAAACCAATATTAGTGTGATCCATTGCGTTTTTACATGACTGAACATAGAGTCAACAAAAACTAGAGCCTGGAGTATGTACACTTTAATTTTAATTTTAATTAATTAATTTTTAATTTTAATTAAATGAAAATAATCAGTGCTTCAGATGCAGTACTGAATTCCCGGTGTCTCATCTGTTAGGCTTCAACTATGAATACTCTAGAAAGCTAGGTCAATGAAATGAAGGTTAGGATTTTATGCAAACTTTAGTCACAAGAGCTTGTTTCTAGGTCAGCACTGTGAACAGCACACTTCAGAAGGGGTCAACGTTCAGCAGGAAAGCAAGAAGAAAGAATCCAGAAGCAGCAGAATATTTTAAGACCCATCCACATATACCATCCCAGCAATTTTAAACTGAGTTTGAAGAAAGAAGCTACAATATAACATGAAACTGGAAGAAAATTCTCCACAATGATCTAATCATCTCCATGGTGTGGAATTCATCTTGGCAGACATCAGTTTGAAACGGTTATAAACCAAGAGGTCTGCAAAAGCAGTGATGTCATCAAGCAAGGCAAGCAGCCAATCAAATCAGAGTATGCACACAGACAAGAAACCAGGAAGTAAAAGCCACTGATTTTTGTAATGCTTTGAAATGAAAAATTTTAATGGTAGTGAAATAAATGATTAGGAAAGAAACATGGAACTAAGCTACGAAACAGATATCATGAACAAATGGGTTTTGGAAAGGAAAAAGTATATTTTCATATCACAATTAACAGACATCCTGCAAATGATTTTATTTCAGAAGCACAAGAAAGTTTCAGTTCAATAATAATTATGGGCTGGATTTTCCTAGCCTCTGAATGTTGTGGGTAAAAAAGGGGGAGAACAGAAAAATTAAATTCTCAACATCAAGAAAACAAAAAGGTTGGTTTTCTACTCAAGGCTTAACCAGCAAGGGGAGAATCTTGCTAGTTAAAGACAAGATGTCCATTTGCATGCATTTATGTCACTTTAATACCTAATTTTGCCTCATTTCTATGCAATTTCCTATCCACCCCACGTACCAGAGAGAAACCAGTGGCAATCACTCATGAAACACACGGAAAATACTTGGTGGCTCCAGCTCACTGTTTTGGTCCCTGGGCCTCCATCTTGGCCAGAAGTCTCACTCTACACACTACATGGCAATGACCACCCGCAAACCTGGTGCATGGAGGTTGCTATTAGACACACATCAGATTCACCATACCCCCGACCCAGTCGGGATACAGCTTTCTCCTTCACTCCTGCCCTCTGGGTAACTAGGGATGAGCAATAAATGCTGGCCTAGCTAGAGTGCACCCACATCTTGCATTGTAAGGTTACTGCCAGGACACTTTGTGCACAGAGACAGCACCTGAATCATGCATTCGAGGCGGCTTTACCTCCGGGATCTTCGCTTGATCTCTTAGCCCTCGCTCACTTTGTGCTTGCTTGGATGCTCACAGCATCTGTCTTGCCCCGCCTTTCCTTTATGTGCTTTGACACCTCATTCAGAACTCAGAGGCTCACTGTTTTGTCTTGCCTTGCTTTTTAATGAGTTCCCGCATGTGACACTCCCACATTGAACAATGACCAGATATTATGCTACAGATGTTATGCTGGGAATTAGGTAGTGGGTAGCACTCTCTTTGAGATATTTCTAACACGTTTCAGCACCAAGGATGGGTGGCCGTTGTAGATGGACCATTAGACAGGTATTCGTTGCCAGGGTTGGAAGGTTTGAGCTATACAGAGAGGCTGAATAGGCTCTTTTATCACAGACTTTTATCATATTCTGGCTGAAAAGGTAGAAGACAGAGGGTGCTGGAGGGTTGCTTTCATACTGGAGGCCTGTGACCAGTGGTGTACCACAAGGATCGGTGCTGGGTCCACTGCTTTTTGACATTTATATAAAATGATTTGGATGTGAACATCGGAGGTATGGTTAGTAAGTTTGTAAATGACACCAAAATTGTAGGTATAGTGGACAGCGAAGAAGGTTACCTCAGAGAACATCACAATCTTGATCAGATGGGCCCATGGGCTGAGCAGTGGCAGACGGAGTTTAATTTAGATAAGTGGGAGGTGCTGCATTTTGGAAAGGCAAATCAGGGCAAGACTTGTACACTTAATGGTAAGATTCTGGGCAGTGTTGCTGAACAAAGAGACATTGGAGTGCAGGTTCATAGTTCCTTGAAATTGGGGTAGAATAGTGAAGGCGGCATTTGGTACGCTTGCCTTTACTGGTCAGTGCATTGAGTATAGGAGTTGGGAAGTCATGTTGCAGCTGTACAGGACATTGACTAGGCCACTTATGGAGTATTGCGTGAAATTCCGGTCTCCATCCTACAGGAAACTGGAAAGTGTTCAGAAAAGATTTACAAGGATATTGCCAGAGTTGACAGGTTTGAGCTGTAGGCAGAGGATGAATAGGCTGGGGATATTTTCTCTACAGCTGAGGCTGAGGCTGAGGCTGAGGGGTTGCCTTATAGAAGTTTATAAAATCATGAGGGGCATGGATAGGGTAAATAGGTAAGGTCTTTTCCCTGAGGTGGGGGAATCCAAAAGTAGGGGGCATAGGTTTAGGTGAAAAGGTAAAGATATAAAAAGGGACCCAAGGGGCAACTTTTTCATGCAGAGGGTGGTGTGTATATGGAATGAGCTGCCAGAAGAAGTGGAGGAGGCTGGTACAATTACAACATTTGAAGGGCATCTGGCTGGGTATATGAATAGGAAGAGTTTAGAGGGATATGGGTCAAATGCTGGCAAAAGGGACCAGATAGATATAGGATGTCTGGTCAGCATAGTCTAGTTGACCGAAGAGTCTGTTTCCATGCTGTATATCTCTATGACACTATGACATTCAAATTCCACTATCTGCCCTGGCAGGATTCAAACCTGGGTCCCCAGAACATTACCTGGGTGTCCGAATTAACCATCCAGTGATAGTACCACTTGGCCAAATTAATTTAGGATACCTGGTCAGCATGGACAAGTTGGACCAAAGGGGCTATTTCTGTGCTGCACAACTCCATGACTCTGTAAAATAGCAATACCTTTCAAAAACATGAGCTTGTATTTGCAATGTAGCGTTGCCTGTGCCAGCAATATACCATCAGAAGCTTTCCTTTGTCATTTCCATCTCACAATGTGCACTGAGAAGGACAGTTTCTGGCTTGCTGTGCTTGACATTGTGTAAAGCTGCACTCCAAGTATGGTGACGGTGACAGAAATTCTGGAAGGTCCTGGGAATGTCGAATGTTTCCACTGCTGGCTAAATGCATGATGCCATAGAAACATAGTGCAGACATCATAAAAACAAGTTATGTAAAATTGCCTGAGAAAAAAAAAATCAATTTCTCATGGAGGGGAATGCTCCATGAAGGACCCCAAGCTTGATGATTTTTGATAAAATTAAGACCAATGAATGTAATACACAATCCAGATACAATTCTTTCAGCCTTTTCTGCACCCTCCCCGCGCCCCCAACCGTTTCTACGGTGAGACTATTGGTGCATCCTCATCAGTTCAGTGCTTTCTAATTGACTGCCATCAAATTGAAGTAGACCCTGCCAGGAAGCATAAAGTCATGAACAACATCTTCTGAATTTCACATGTAATTGAGAATGTGCAGACTCCAGAATTTTGCTGTCAGTTTCAGGGGAGTTTCCTCATCATTTCTCTTGTAAACTACAAGCCATAATGCTGTGAGATCCTGAACAGTTGCTTCTGTGCAACATCAGATACCCCATGTCAACACAAATAGATGGTATTGTTACTAATGCCACTGCATCCTCTAATAATGGAATTGGTGAGAATGGAAAAGGAGCTTCTGAAAACCAAAACATGGTCCCCAAAGATCAAAAGGTAGCTCCTGAAAAAAAAAAAGACCTTGTTATTTTGGTATGGATGTGAATCCTGTTGTCTCCAAAGCAGATAGTTGTTGTTCAAGCTGACATTCCACTGTAGTATTGCATGAAATGTTGAATTTTTGGAGGGACTTTCTTTGGATGAAAGATGAATCTAAATCTCTGCCTAATGGTTTCCAGTAAAAATCCAAGAAACATGGCAGCTGTCTTGGTGTGCTCACCATCATTCCTCTTACAAGTAACTTTTTACAAAGACTATTGTACAAACTGCACCTGTCATTCCTTCATGGGGTGTTACTGGGAATAAAATGGCTCTTGTGCTTGCCTATATTAAAATAGTCAATACATTTCAAAATAATTCATAAATTGTATGCTTCAACCAGTTTCAGAAATGTGTCTTTGCTTTCTTTCAGTGCAATAGAACACTGTGGGGGTGCATTTCTGAATACGCGTCAGCAGAGGGGAAGTTTACCGTCTCTCAGTGCATATTACCAAAGCACAAAGTACCATCTGTGATGTCCTGATAGACAGTTGTGCTGGATAAACCTCTTTGCAGCCAGCACCTACTTGTGAGAATTTATGCTAAAAGATGCAGAAGTGCTTGAAGAAGGAGCAAATGGTGATTAAAGGTTCAAGTGAAGAGTTGTGATAAATGTGAAGCATTAACCCATCTTTTCTGCTTTCTGATGGCTGTAGCTCTCTTGGCTGACTTCATTCCGTCACTATGTGCAGCAACAGTATCTAGAAATGCAGCAGCACTTTCTCCGATGAGTATTTCTTGAAATTGTAAACATGTTCAACATGTACAAATGCTCAGAAATATCAACCAGAGGAAATTTCTTAATGCTGTCACTATAACATCAGGAGGAAATCATAGATACCAAATTATTTTCCCTCTCTTCACAGTTAAATTTATTTAAATCAGGAATTTCCCATCCACCTTCTTCAATTTCTTGCAATTATTGAGAATGAGGTGAAAACAAAAATACATACATTGGGAAATGATCTAGTTCCCAGCTTTAGTAAAGTTGGATCACACTTCCACTCAAAAGTTGAATTGTGAAGGTTCTTCTCCTGAACATGGAAAGCACTGATGAAATTTGAAAGGCACAAGCCTCTTTTAGGGCACTTTTCAATGGTGACACTTTTTAAAAAAAAAAGTCATTAGTTTGGCAAAGAATACTCAAAATGCTGTTACAAAGAGTGAAGTCATATCTCACCTCCTTGTTGGTTAACACTTCAATACCATAAGTTGAGTAAAACTCTGGCTTCCGCAACAAAATACTTTCAATGCTGATGTTTAAAGCCTAAAAAAAACACACAAAAATCTGGTCAGCAAATACAATCATGATACTTTTCTACAGGGAATGAAAGAAAGCACTACATTACGTTGGCTGAATTAATGTCTGAAATGCATCCACTGAAACAACGTGTTCTGATAAAACTAGTATGATCAGCTCTCAGCTCATGCAAATGCTTGTCCCCATCCAACCCAGGAGTGAAAAGGAAGTAGTGAAGCAGAATGAAAGGATTATATTTTAAAGAAAGGCTGACCAGTGTATGGCCACATCACAAGTTTACATTGTGAAGATGATCTTAAAGTTACAATAATTATGATTATGGAATAATAGTGATGAAAGGTATTGAAAATATATTATTTTTGGAATTTGGATTAGTTTTGAAGGAGAAACATACAGATGTGGGTTTGTCTGCGAAAGGGTTTTTTTCTAAAAGAAAGAGGTCAGAAAGTCCTTCAAGAACAATGACGTAAAAGCACCAGTTCCAAGAAGACACATGAATAAAAACAAGGGCCTGGGAGAACTCCTGCAGTGTTAACTGAATAAGATGTTGATACTTTTTTTGGTTTGTAAATACATTAAACCTTTAGTTTTGCTTTTAGCTCAGTTCAGGCACACTAACTTTTTAGTGGAGAAGAATTAAGAGTGGAGTTCAGAACCAAATTTCTTTCCTAGCCGGTTTAGTTCAGTTCAATTCTGAGGAAACCAGTCAGTCAGTCATTACAGTGTCTTCTCTAGTTTGAGAGGCTTCCAAACCAGGAAAGTTTAGGATAAGAATGTCAATTCAAGTAAAAACTGGAAGGAGTCAGTGAAGTAGAAATTTAAATTTTTGGAGATAGGTGAAGAATTATTCTGGGCTTGATTCTCTGCAAAGGATAGTATTGGAAAACAAGTTGAAACTTTGTTTTATTATTTATGTTAAGACCTTATCAACTATACCAATAGCATGGTTTGTTTTATTTCTTTTGTGTAATAAACTTATGCTGTCTTGTTGAAGAACATCTTTAGCCTCATATGAATATATTTCAATGACTAAACCATAATGTTAATGAAACAAATCAAAAAACAAACAAACAAACAAACAGTCAATCAAGTCAGATTTCATTCTGAGATCTGATCTTTATCTAGTAGCTGGGATCATAATATTTTTATATTACATAGGTAAAGCAATTTCCTCACTCATTTCTTCATCTATACAATTTAGGACAAGTCTTGCATCAGCAGGCTTGTTAGGAAACTTAAATTGCTCAGTTTGCCTGCTCTCAAAATAATTAGGCATTCATAAGACAGGTATTAGCCTTCCTTATTAAAACCATTCTAAAAAGGCCAGAGCACTGCCAAATTGGATGGTGGTGAATCCCGATTTTTTTTTTAAGAAAGCATATCTTCACACAGACATTTTCTTTCCTTTGGGGAATAGCGATGGAAGGTTTTCCAGATTGATTAACAGCACAGAGAATTATGCCCTGAGTACTCCTGAGCTGTGAGGTTTAGTATAGAAATTTAACCCAGAGTTTCTGGCTTAACATCGATGACTTGGATAACACTGGGGCAGGAATGGTTGTTGGATGTTCCGGGGTATAGATGTTTCAATAGAAATAGGGAGGGGGGTAAAAGAGGTGGGGAGTGGCATTGCTAATCAGGGATAGTATCACAGCTGCAGAAAGGGTGGTCGTGGAGGAGGGTTTCTCCACTGAGTCAGTATGGGTGGAAGTCAGAAACAGGAAAGGAGCAGTCACTTTAGTAGGAGTTTTCTATAGACCCCCCCAGTAGCAACAGAGACACTGAGGAACAGATTGGGAGACAGATTTTGGAAAGGTGCAGAACTAATAGGGTTGTTGTCATGGGTGACTTCAACTTCCCTTATACAGACTGAAACCTCCTTAGTGCAAATAGTTTGGATGGAGCAGATTTTGTCAGGAGTGTCCAGGAAGGATTTCTGACTTAATATGTAGATAGGCCGACTAGAGGGGAATCCATATTGGATTTTGTGCTTGGCAACGAACCAGGACAGGTGTCAGATCTCTCGGTGGGAAAGCATTTCAGTGATAGTGATCACAACTCCCTGACCTTTACCATAATCAAGGAGAGGGATAGGGGCAGACAGTATGGGAAAATATTTAATTGGGGGAGGGGGAATTACAATGCTATTAGGCAAGAACTATGGAGCACCAATTGGGATCAGATGTTCTCAGGGAAATGCACGATAGAAATGTGGAGGTTGTTTAGGGAGCAGTTGCTACAGGTACTGGATAGGTTTGTCTCATGGAGGCAAGGAAAGGATGGTAAGGTGAAGGAACCTTGGATGACAAGACATGTTGAACATCTAGTCAAGAGGAAGAAGGAAGCTTAATGAAGTTTGAGGAAGCAAGGATCGGACAGGGCTTTAGAGGTCTACAAGGTAGCCAGGAATGAACTGAAGAATGGACTTAGGAGAGCTAGAAGTGGGTATGAGAAAACCTTGGTGGGTAGGATCAAGGAAAACCCCAAGGCTTTCTATAATTATGTGAGGAACAAGAGGATGGCCAGAGTGAGGGTAGGGCCAATCAGGGACAGAGGAGCGAACTTATGTGTGGAGTCAGAGGAGGTAGGGGAGGTCCTTAATGAATACTTTGCTTCAGTATTCACCAGTGAGAGGGACCTTGATGTTTGTGAGGACAGCATGAAACAGGCAGATATGCTCGAACAGGTTGTTGTTAGGAAGGAGGATGTGCTAGAAATTTTGAAAAACATGAGGATAGATAAGTCTCCTGGGCCAGACGGGATATACCCAAGGTTACTACAGGAAGCGAGGGAAGAGATTAGTGCCCCTTTGGCAATGATCTTTGCGTCCTCACTGTCCAATGGAGTAGTGCCAGAAGATTGGAAGGTGGCAAATGTCATTCCCTTGTTCAAGAAAGGGAATAGGGATAATCCTGGAAATTATAGACCAATCAGTCTTACCTTTGTGGTGGGCAAATTATTGGAGAGGATTCTGAGAGATAGTATTTATGATTATTTGGAAAAGTACAGTTTTGATTAGAAATAGTCAGAATGGCTTTGTGAGGGGCATGTCAAGCCTCACAAGCCTTACTGATTTCTTTGTGGATGTGACAAAACACATCGATGAAGGTAGAGCAGTGGATGTGGTGTATATGGATTTTAGCAAGGCATTCAATAAGGTCCCACATGGTAGGCTGATTCAGAAAGGAAGGAGGCATGGGATTCAGGGAAATTTGGCTGTCTGGATACAAAACTGGCTGTCCAATAGAAGACAGAGGGCGGTAGTAGATGGAAAGTATTCAGCCTGGAGCTCGGTGACCAGTGGTGTTCCGCAGGGATCTGTTCTGGGACCTCTGCTCTTTGTGATCTTTATTAATGACTTGGATGAGGAAGTGGAAGGGTAGGTTAGTAAGTTTGCCGATGACACGAAGGTTGGAGGAGTTGTGGACAGCGTGGAGGGCTGTTGTAGATTGCGAAGTGACATTGACAGGATGCAGAGCTGGGCGAAGAAGTGGCAGACGGAATTCAACCCGGAAAAGTGTCAAGTGATTCATTTTGGAAGGTCGAATTTGAATGCAGAATACAGGGTTAATGGCAGGATTCTTGGCAGTGTGGAGGAACAGAGGGATCTTGGGGTCCACGTCCATAGATCCCTCAAAGTTACGAACCAAGTTGATAAGGTTGTAAAGAATGCGTACGGTGTGTTGGCTTTCATTGGCAGGGGAATTGAGTTTAAGAGCCGTGAGGTTATGCTGCAGCTCTATAAAACTCTGGTTAGACCACACTTGGAATATTTTGTTCAGTTCTGGTCACCTCATTACAGGAAAGATGTGGAAGCTTTAGAGAGGGTGCAGAGGAGATTTACCAGGATGCTGCCTGGACTGGAGGGCAGGTCTTTGAGGAAAAGTTGAGAGCGCTACAGCTTTTCTTATTGGAGCGAAAAAGGATGAGAGGTGACTTGATAGAGGTGTACAAGATGATGAGCGACATAGATAGGGTGGATAGTCAGAGACTTTTTCCCCAGGGCAGAAATGACTATTACGAGGGGGCATAGTTTTAAGGTGATTGGAGGAAGATATAGGGGAGATGTCAGAGGTAGGTTCTTCACACAGAGAGTGGAATGCACTGCCGACAGTGGTAGTGGAGTCAGATACTTGAGAGACCTTTAATCGACTATTGGATAGGAACATGGAAGATCGTAGAATGTAGGGTATGCAGGGTAGATTGATCTTAGTAGGATAATAGGTCGGCACACCATCGTGGGCCAAAGGGCCAGTACTGTGCTGTACTGTTCTACGTTCTTAAAAAGTATAGACCTTACCAGTATGCTGCAAGACTGTCTGCCTGAAAGTAAACTACTGCCAATCCTGTGAAAGACATATCATTTCATTTATGTACGACCTTTCACAATGTCAAGAAGTTTCAAAGCATTTTATACCCACTGCAACAGTTAGAATGTTTGTTTATAAGCTTCATTTTGCTTGCTAATGCTGCCTTTATGTCACTTTTTATTTACTCTGTATTCCCTGTCAGTTGAACTGTTGAAGGCCAGTTTACATTTCCGATTAATTCTCTTCGGTCCACTGCTCAAGACATTGAAGAAATAGTCAACACTACAAGAGCCATTTCCCTCCTGGGTGGCAACATTTCATGTTTCCGGCATTAGGCTTGCCAGACACTATAGTGGTGAGGTTATTAGGATCCACATAGGGCACCTTCACTAGATGTTAAAGTTTGATGTCAACATTGCTACTTTGTAGCTGAAATATTGAACTACCAGCTTTTCTTTAATCTTGAACACATGTTCGGCAGCAGGAAAGACCTTTTGCCAGAATTACATGGATCAACAATTATGTTAGTTGCAGATTTATTTGTATTGGATCTCACTGTGAATGTTGAAGTATCTGATTGTTTGAACAACTCTGGAAACAAAGTCTACAAAAAAAAGAGTGGTGTGGTGGGTGTTGCAGAACTTTGTACTTTGTGCAGAACTTGATTATAATAATTCCTCACAGACCACTTTCAGA